GCAAGAAAATGCATTCAAAATATTTTAGAACGTGATATTAAAATGCAACTTATTTCGCTCGTTGCATAGTTGGGGAGTTGAAGAGGTTAACAAATGATTATAGACAAACTAGAGAAACATTTTATATAATCAAAACAAAGTCAGATATTTCGAAATTTTTTTTTTTCTCTTTCATTGTTTATATTTGATTTTAATTTTTCCCAGTCAGAAACTACAATTGCTATCAATACATGTTAAACTTTACTTCACTCAATTCTTAGTATGTTGAGTTAATTTAGATTTCTATCAAGAAATATATTGATTACAAAAATTGGTTTTCAATGGAGCCAAAGACTTTCGAAAATGCAAACAATTTAAGTTTCGTTTATGGCCTTAGTGGTCTTTAGTTTTACGTTCTTTGTGTAAGCGGGAGTCGAATAACGATTGCTATACATACGCACACATGCACACACACACACACACACACACATGCCCGTGCTGTCTATTGTGTAAAATTTTTTGTTGGAATTTTTCGAAATTTTTTTTTTATTTTCGCTTTTTCTACTTATTCGCATGCAAGAATTTATTAAATTGCAATCGCTTAAAAAACGATAATTGTTGGAATACTGAGTACATATAAAATTTGAAAACGTGTCATTATTGAAAATTTCAAGTCATCTATGAAATAACAAGACGACTAAGAAAATTATATTCAGCTTTGACCGAATCTTTTACACCCATCATTTTTATTAATTTAATAAAAATTCGAAAAAATGAACTTTCGATACTCTACGAAATTGAGGTTGGAACATTTATCGTAGCGTAATCGATAAAATATACCGAAAATATTTCTCACTGTGTCTGCTGTATTTTATGGGAAATTACCAAAAAAACCATTTTGTTTTTTTCCTTGCTTTCGATCTCGGAGACGCTCCTAGCTTACTTTCTACTTTAGGCGACCGACTTGCTTCATTCATTCATCGTATCATCCTATGTGGAGGAACTTTTAATGTTTTTACCAAACTTACAGCCAATAGCTTCATTTCCGCGACCAGAACAATGTTTACCATAGACATTACACATGTGGACAGACGGACAGACGCATGTGCCTTGATCTATTCAGAATTTTATGCTTGAATTACTATCTAAAGTTTCCTGCTGGACGTTACAAATGTTTTCGCAAAATGGATACAGCTCCTCTTCTTCGGTGATGGGTACACAAATATGCATATATAAATCATTCAATGGTAGACATTATTTTAAACGATGCATGCCAATTGAGTTCGATAACAGACTGTAATACATATAAAAGATCTATTCATAGAAAAGCGCTATTTTCATTAGTTCCTTGATTCGGTTGCTGTTGACGTTGCAGCTCATCATTCATGTGATTTAAACCTAAGATACTGTTGCCGTCAAGAAGTGTTATAAATTATTCAAGTCTCGTTGTAAAACTCGAACATGAACGCTACACTTTTAAAAGCACTCGATATTATTACATTGATAACCATGCCGTTGGGATGTCTTGTGGATAAATTTTAATCGGTGCTTGAATCGGTTTCTAACATTCCCGTGTGAATAAGTATAGAATAGAAGTGCGAAGAGAGAAGAAAATATTATGGTTATAAGGAAGTAACTTGAAGGTGACGCTAACTCTTCCATTATAAGATGTCGTGAGAAGCTGTGCTTCTCTGCAACCATGTTATGATAATATGAGGTATTGTTACGATATTCAGTTTTATCGGACACGGTTCGTATCACTAGGTCGTGGATATTATTTTTAAGAGATATACACTTGCAGATATTCCCTACAAGACTCTTTTAGGTACAATTAATTTGTTTAAGGGTAGAAGTATTTACATTTTACTTTGGCAATACCCTCGATTTCTCAACTCTAATATTCTTTTTCGACTCAAGTGTTCTTTTCGGACTGCCTCTGCCTTCGGCAAATAGCCTTTGTATGCAAATTTTCACAAGTATTACTATTACCTAAGTTCATGGCTTCATTTTTAATCCGTTAACCGGCTTTTCCGTTAATCGCTTACCTCGGCCGGCAGCTGCATAAAGCGCCGCGACTGCATTTGGGTTTTCCCTTTCTAGGGAAAACCCAAATTTTCCGGGAAAATCAATTAGTTGGAACAAATTGGATTTGAGATTTCCGTAACAATATGTAGAAACTTGAACTTTCATCCGAATCAGCTCAAGCACTGCATTCAATTGAACTGAGCTAAAATGCGCGATCAATGCTCGAATCCTAAGGCATATTATCGTAGAATTATTCACACTTTTAAACAGTAATAAGCATGATAATTAATCGACTATTTAAGGATTTTCTGGATAAAAAAAATTAGTCCATATATTTTTCCAAGCTAGGAACATAGGACAGGTCTAACAGGATATAAGGTAAAAAGAGTTGAATGATCAAAGGGGATAGCATCTGCTGCCGTAGACAGGCAAATATTCGTGATAAGGCGTAAGGTCACACTACGGGCAACAAGGACAGGATCAAAGTAAACGAAATTTGTTGAGAAATGTGAATTATGTAACACATCACACACAGGATAAATTGAAAACAGAAAAGAATATAATTCAATTAAGAGCAACCATAAATTTAATACAAAAGCTATGTAATATTCTTTTTAATCATAAAGCCATAATTGCAAGATCATAAAGGCTATAAGTCTCTTACCATTTTTTGAAATGAATTCCTTGTTAACCTTAAGCGTTAATGTATAAAATAAAATACTACTAAATAAATGAAATGAAATAATATAATATTTCATAGAATGCATATTAAAAGTAAATTTATGACATTCAAATTATTTAGAATATTGTTTTTGTAATGCGTTATTTTTAGTTGTTATTTATATAAATGGCAATAACATGTCTAAGGTGCGTCGTACAGTAGGTGTAGTAGTTAAATTTCAAGTTCAACTCATACCTTATAAAACAGGTTAACCTTATGGTAATTGTAGAAGAGATTATTTGCCGTACTGCTTACATCAAATTTGAAATCTGTGTAGATGATAGTAATTACATTTTGTATATATTATGCATATTTCTCTCCAATAAGATCAGACGGATATATAATTGTAGTAGCATAATAATAATCAGTCTATATTTGAATTTGATCGGAATTATATATATACTGCATCTATATTAGCCAATTGTGGAAATATTTTGAGAAATAATATACGTAAATAGTTATTGCCTATTTTTCGGGACAAAGTTTAATGATTTTTATTGCCTATTTCAGTTCAAGCAGGTCCGAATATTTTAGAAAACTACTATATCGTTTAAATATATGTCGTTTAGCACGTACTAGCTATTTAATTTTGTGTACTTACTGAAAAGTATCGACTGGGTGTGGACCAAAAATCAAATACTTTAAAATAAAATATAATTCAAATAATTATAAAATGTATAATTTATACCTTCTCTAAATGGTATGTAATAATTAAGACGACTGTCAAGGAATATTGGTAAATATCTGAACAATACTTTAAAAATATATTTGCTTTGCTATGGCTAAATAAACTTATATTACTATTTGTTCAAGAATATATTCACTTGATAGTTGACTTGATATGTGTATCGGAGTACTTCAAACGTAATAATAAAATGGTCAACCTAATAATGCGTATAGTGTTAGTTAATATGTGAATTTCGGGATATAAAAATGAACCAGATACGTTGCAAGGAGCAATAACTGCAACGGACTTGTATTTATACATATATTTATATTCTTTAGATCGGTAAATACCTTTATTTTTTGTATGTTCACTCTCTTAGCTCAGCTAATAAGTTATTTGGTTTCTTCTCTTCATCTAATACACTGAGCTTACATAATTATGTGTTCACACTTTTTCTTAACATATAATTATTATAGAAATTAGAAGAAATGCAATACGCGTGCATCGCTTGACTGACGCGAAAAGCCTCTCTGCGGAGCTTTACCCCACGAACTCACGTCAAATAATGCACCAGACCAATTTCTTCTCTTCGCTAAGCAATTACAGATGTTTGAAATCGCAACTGTTACGAACTCAGATCGAGATCATTCAGTGCACTTAGATCGATGCAACAATAGTTTACACTAAACTACATAGAATAGTCGGGTCCATTGTCGAGGAAACTTTAATTGTTTGATCGCTAGGCTATAGCGACTATGTGCAGTTGGAGGAATCTGTTCAAAAACAATTTCTCCTATTTGCTCTTTGTGGGGTTAGATGACAAGCACAAAGAATACTTCATTCTTACGAGAACTGACTCCTATTAATCATCCTAAATTCCCCAAAGAAGAGAAGGTCGGCTATTGCTGTGTGTGAGTTTCATGGCTAAGTTTACTAATGGCGAATTGAGCTCTTCATTCCTACTGAAGGAGTTTGACTTTGCTGTCCCGTGTAGAATCTCTGGGCGTTTCTTTGCCCTGCCTTTACTACGATGCACGGCTGACTATAAACTTCGTTCTTTTATACGGATCCTCTATAAACATTTTAGGGAATATTATCATTTATTCTCTCTTTCTGGCAAAATTCAATGTATGTTTCTTAATCGATAACGATCTTGATGGTTGCTAAGAATTGGTGTCACTGTTATTTTTTCCTTTTTTCATATTTTTTACCACTATAAGCCTACTTTTTATCACATTAAGTGTTTTAAAGCGTAAACTTTAAATTAGCCTCAATCTTTCACTTACACCTCATTTTATTATGAGTCGTAAGCTTATATAGTCTCTAACAACTAAACAACTAAACAAGTAAACAAAATACGAATGACTTTAACTTAACAGCAAAACGAGGCCTGATTTTGGCTTTCACGCAATAAGAGGAGTATATTAATTTTGAGCTACCAAACTTTAATATATTTTCGTTATTGGGAGGTATGAAAACAATTGAAATTATTTCAATTAATTTTTATTAAAATTTTGCAAAATCTTTTATTCTTGTATTTAACGGATAATAGATTAATATTTCATATTATATATTTTTGTGGTGACAACAACAAAATCTTTTATTATTATTATTATTAATTAGCACCATTCAGACTGGAAATGAAAATTCCGTTTAAATTGCAGTGGCTCGCAGCAATATGTAAAACCCAATGCATTTGACCTGGGTAAGTCAAGCGGGCATTGTACGACTGTACAACCGATTTGTCTTGGTATGTTAGGTGGCATTTGATCGTCGTGGATATTATTGTATTGTAGAAAAGCAGTACGTTGATTAAGACGATTTCTTACAATTTTATAAGTCCAGAGGGGAATGGGTATCGAATTGGCTCCTCTTAAATGGATAGGCACCAAATTATTTCTTCTATTTGGTAATTGTACGACCATATCGAAAGCGCCGCTACACACTCGAGCGGGTGCGTTATCAGCTCTACGAGCCCATTCCTCAATCGCCCTCCAATTGCCGTTATTGATGCTATGAAATTGTGGTATAACATTAATCATTCTAAACGTGTTTTGTATCATATTATTAGTCATGAAATCTCCAGCGGCTGTTAGATGACCACGATCAATACGTCGTACGTCTTCATTTCGAGCGAAAAACCGTTGATTTGGTCCCAACAATCTTTCAAAAGTATTAAAAATATCGCGTTTATTGTAGGAGGCGAAGACGGCTGCCGTGAAAATGTCATCGGGATTAAACGTGTAACCGTCGGCTCGTGGCAAAACTGAAAGCATTATGAAAATTCATTTTTTAGCTATTGTTTATTTGCTTTTTTTTTTCGTACTCCTTAACAGTTTCAAAAAGTACTTACAGAACTGAGAAACTGTCGTTACAGTGAACAAGGTTCTATATCTTGCGTTTTCAAAGCATACACGATACAGTTCGAATACTTGTGGCCGATTCATTAATGTTACTGTATAGGCGATGCGATAGCTTTGAAAAGCGCACGATATGTCGTAGTTTATTGCCTCCCTAATTGGTTGTATAGGATTGTTACAACCCGGTAGTGGCAAACGTTGACTAAATCGATTATTTGCACAATTGACTGTTGTTATATCGTTTTGATTGCAGATCATAAACAGTCTAGTCCCTTCACGTACCGTAGGATCACGTATTAGATCGAAAACATTATTTCTATATGTGACAATCAAACGTTGTTCATTCCTTAACTGAGCCTGATTCAATCTACAATCGGCTAAGGTTTCAATCGCCCCTATTCGAAATTTAATTAGAATTATTTGTAAACTTTCAAGAAGCAAATGTATTCAATTGCTACTTACCTTGCAACAATATCAACGCCAAGATGAGAAATATATTCACATGATGATGTTTGGCCATTATTGTAGAACTGTAATTGGAATAGTGGAAGAAAAAATTTTCATTTAGGTATAACGCAAAACAATTAAAGTACAAGGAAATTCTGAACACTTGGAGTAGTTTGCAGGTATTTATAGTGGGAGTCGAACACCTTTCAATTAAACTCAAATTGGCAATAGAATATTTTTAGCAAAGCAATATTTTTAGCGGTAAGAAGCCACAGAAGCGCAAAAGAAAGATGAATCTTATTGCAAAGACACAATGAAAATTGAGACTCAACCAGTTGAGAAGTGAGCTGAACGTTAAAAGTAGGTTGGAGTGAAATGCGCTTAATATTACAGATAATTGCAAACGAAAATTTCATTCGAAGAATTGATATATTTGCGCCACATAAAGAATTGAGGATGCAATAAAAAACTTTCCTCGATATCATTCTTGAATATATATGGAATCATTTGAGATGTTCGAGAATCATACGAGATGGCCTTAATCCATCCAAGTGAACAAACCGGAATTTTAAATGAAATTCATTTGGATCGTTAAAATCGGAAGCGTGATCAGCGACTGCTATTCTGTCACATCAAGCGGCGTGCAAAGAAATCTCACATTTGCGTCGCTATCAATATTTACTGCGAATAGCAATTGGAAATGAATGGGTTGAATAAGATCACTATTTTGCCCATCTCAAGCAAAAACCTTAATTTGTATAGATAGACAGATAGGCTTTATATATAAGGATATGTACAGACAGAAATAGATGAATAGCATCTAATGTTGATAAAAAGATTTCTTATATTATTCATGTTATTTTATACTATATAGCGGCTAACGGTTTTGATCTTATAAATAAAATCGATCCTTAGATTCATATACTTTTGTTATTTATTATGATGAAATCTTAAAAGCAATGCAAATTAATAAATAAAATATTTCTTTAATTTATTTCGAACAAAACAATGCCATGCATGCATGCACACTTTTCTGTCACTTCCATTTTGGTCAGAGTGCGAAAAACGATACCAGTTCGATTTACAAAAACCATAAACAGTAACAAATCACCGCATACCCGACCATGTGTTAGTTTGACAACAATTTTTAAATAACTAATTAATTGTCTTACGGCAATTGAAACACGAATAATTCATTAAGATAAATATTTTAAACATTTGTTGCTTTAAACTATTTATATATAAAAAAAAAAAAAAATAAATCACGCTTGAGTTTCGGATATAATAATTAATTTATAGAAATAAGCAAGAGAAGCGTCACTCAAAACACGTAGACAAGAGGAGACAGAGTTCTTGGAAAGAATATAAATAACTACAAATGGATTCGAATGGATTCTGAAGGAAAATTGTTTATGCATGCGACTAATAATAAAATCTCATGATATGAAAAAAGCCAGAAAAAAGCGAAAAAAAAAAAAACACTCTTCATACCGATTAATTTATATTCGAGAATATTTATTTCTCTTTTTCCTTTTCTGCTTTTAGGTGTAACCCTACGTTATAAATGTTATTGTACCCTACATCACTTGCGATACAAAGACATATTGAATTTGTGCGGATGTGTGTGACAAGGCTCGAAGGATTCGAAATAGATCCACTTTTCATCATACTGATCGATTCAGAAGTACTGTCCGAATGAATCCGTCTGTCCACCTGTCCGTCTGTGTGCCCGTTTGTCTTATTCTCTTTTCTTGAATCTACACGTGGAAAATTTTCGAGATATTTGGATTATGAAGCTTGATACAGTGTCATACTTTGGCTGAAGGACGAACGCTATTGAAAATCTTTCGGATCGGATTACTTCCCACATAAGACCCTATTTTGAAAAGTCGATATTTGAATAACCACATTAAGCGAAGTGGTTTAGGACACTTAGGATAGGTGGGCCGTTGTTCATTTAAGTGCTTTTATTTTATTTTTTATTGTTACTAATTTAATTTACAATTAATGTAGAAGGATTATGAGTAAGTGTTATAGGGAGATGAGAAAAATAACGTAAGCTATTGTCCCGCAATAGAAACGATATAACATTACAGGCATGATGTTTAAATAAATAAAAAGAAGCTGAACGGAATACCTATGGAGTACTTGAGGAATAATAAGTTCTTGTTCTAAGTTGCCCTAGAAGTAGACGAGGTCTACCGCCATGATTATTTTTGCGTTGAGTTAGTTCCCAGTGAGTTAGAAAATGAAGCAATCTTAATATACGTGTTAAAAATTAACGTTAAAAAGATGAGGGTCTTAGGTGGTAAAGATTTAACACCTAGTGTAATATCTGTGGAAAATATTCGACCGTTCGTAAAAATGCAAATTTCATCTTCATATTTGGCAAAAAAATTTAAAAATGACGTCAAAGTCTGTCAAAGGATGCGCCTAGACTACAGGATAAACTGACAATAACGCTAGCTGCCAGTTTTTCGATTTTTTTTTTTATAAAACACAATAAACCCATTTTATACAAAAATGAAAATAATCCGCGACCGCCCTGCAAAAATATATAGCATTGAAATGTATTTAGTCCATTTTTTCCTAGTCTGAAGGAAGCAGGGATAAAAAATTCACTCACAACCGAATATAATTTTTTTAAATGCTAGTCCTTTAAAAGTTTAGTCTTTGAATTTATTTCTCTAGCGAAATTAATAATAATAATAATATAAGAATAAAATTTTAAGATATAGAAAAAATAAATTAAAACTGAACAGACAGAAATTCACGTCAATAAGGAATTATGTATAACAGGCAACCGGAATGTTCAAAGTCATTTGCAAAAATTCCTATTTTTCGTACAATTTGAAAATGTATGCAAAAGGAAGAAAGTGCAAAACGAAAGTCCGTAAGCGAAACCGAAACCGATATGAACATAGCAAAAAGACTGGAAGAACAGCGAACAGGAACGTTATTCTTGTGCTAACACAATAACAAAAATATATCTCTATATAATAAAGTGTCATTTATTTTATCTATGGCACCAGAGATCGAATATGAGTCGTCCGGTCGTCTGCCGGACATCCTGTCCATGATTTTTATTGCAAAATAGCAGAAGGTCTTACAACTAAGAGCTATTTGATTTTACTAACCTCTCTCTTATTAATTATTATTTTACATCTTTAAAAAGAAAAAATGTATTAATTGAGTGGGTTTCGAATCCGAACTGTGCTCCTAACAATGTTGAAATTATGTCAGACTTTTCACGTTAGCCTTGATTTCCTATTGCATATAACGATTGTATTATGTACATATATATGCAGTATGTAAGTGGGAAACGAGAGATAATTAACTTGGCAATCTGGGCGATCTATGTTCTGTTTTTCCAATCCTTGTGAACTTTCCATATCTTCCACCAAGGGATTGACAATGCGATTGTCTTGTTCTTTCGTTTAATATCCAAACATCTTTGATGCCACATTGTTGGCATCTTGATTTCCAATATTATTTTCTTCACTTTGAATTTTATATCAATTTTATCTTGTTATGTTTCTTTCTTTTTTTTTCTAACTTGCTTTGTTTAGGTGAACGAATTCGGTCTGTTGATGATAAGACGACTATATCCAGTCGCGTGATCAGTTTTTATTATTTGTTGGCCCTTTGTGTTAATTTTTTTTCTTGATTTTGTGGTACCCTTACTACTTAAGTGCCTCTGTGGTCTGCAACGTAACGCGTGTCAACTTGTATTGAAAAAAGGCGATAATTTAATATACATTCCTATACAAGTATACATTAGTATACAAGATAGATGCGGCTATCTAAGGGCCGTTTTCAATAAATATTAAACTGGAAGTTAGATAAATTTATCTTTCAGTTAAGAGATAATCCTTTTCACAACATCACAGTTATTCTCTAAATGATCCTTAAACTTAATTGGAAGTTTTCTGCCATTTACCCACCAGCTGGCAAAACAGCCAATTAAGAGGATGAAGACATGTGCTTGAGTTTAAATTAATATATTGAAAACGGTCCTAATATAGCCCTATATAGTCGAATATCAGCATATTTTTCATAATTTAATTAGCGAATGGATTTTCATATTAAAAAATCCCGATTAAAGGATATTTCACTTTTATATTGTCGTTGGTCGCGAAAAGACTATTTTTCTTAAATTTTTCTGCTCATAATGAAGAAAAAATGATTGTAAAAGAAAATCATATGTTTGAGACAGAACTTTGAGATTGACATAATCGTGCCCTTAGTAAGCAGAGCAGACAAACAAGCGTACAAATGTTGATCAATCGAATAAATTGACTATGTTATTCAGATAAATGATATATGAGATCATTCTAAGCATTGCAATAAAAATTTAATATACATACATATGTATATACTCTCTGGTAGCTATAGCAACAGAGTTTGTCAAGATCCCGCGACATATATGTTGAAAAATAATCGATTTCTATTGTAATCAATTCTTATTTATCAATGTATATAATATATAATATTATATTAGATAATTGAAAAAAAGAATTGTTTTATTAGGCTTAATATTTTTTAAATTACTTAATGTATGCACTGCATGAATATAATGCACAGCATGTGGTTAAAGCTCCCTCGATATGCTCAACACAAAGCAGAATTACTTCACGTTGTTAAATTACAATGTAATCGATGCGATATATTATGCGGTTTTAGTTTTTTGCGCTTTTATTAAAATTATAATTTAAAAAAAAATATATTATAATAAGTTTTTCTACTTGCTTTAGGTTTCATTCTTTCACTCACTAATCACATAAATTACACTCTTATGTATTATAAATTATTAAGGTTTTTTTTCCTTTTGTTTTTTCTGTGATCTACAAAGAAATCCACGATGATTAGTTTAGATTAACTAAAAAAATAAAAAAAATTTTCTATCTTCCACAATTTAAAAAAAATAAATAGATTAACTTAAAAAACAAAAATTTCCACAATTTAAAAAAAAAAAATTTCTTTTTTTTATATTTAAGTAAAAATTTAATATCACTTGGTATTTTTTTTATTTTCGTTATAGGAACAATTTACGTGATTTCCTGAATGTTAGGTTGTTAGGAAA